CCTTCACCTTGAAAAACTTCCATTAGCATTTCTTGGACAACAGGTATGCATTCAGAATTTTTCTCTGCTTTTAACTAAATACACTTTTATCTGCCTTCCTTTCTGAACGCTGTCTTTATTACATATTTAATCCAAGGTGGGTAATATATTTCTTTCAGGTATTTAAAGATGCCATTCTATTGTTTTCTACCCTTTCATTTTTATAATGAGAAGTCACCTGTAATTCTTACTGTTTTCCTGAATATAAATAATATTTGTACTTGACTTCTTTAAGAAATAAAGAAGCTAAACTAAAACTAAAACTAGTTTTAGTTTCAGAAGTTTGTCTTATCAAATATCTGAGTGTGATTTTCTCTGTATTTATCTTGATTGGGAGTCACTGAATTTTCTATGATTGGGAGTTACTGTTTTTGACCAATTTTGGAAAACTGATAGGGAGAGGTATTATTAAAATTGCTTTTAAATTCTTGTTGCTAATTCTAATCCCTGGACTTATTTCTATTGATTTGTTTCTCTATAGATTATGTAGATTATGTTTATCTGTTTCTTCCTTAATATTTTTTTTAATTTTAGAAACAATCTCAAGTTTTCAAAAAAGTTACACATGGAGCAAATATATTTTCTCTCAATTGCTTGAGAGGCAGTTGATACCAATAAGCATCTTGACTATTGAACACTTTTGAGGTCTGTATTGCCTATAACGAGGATTTTTCTCCAATATAAACAAATGTAGCCATCAAAGTCAGGAAATTAATATACTTTATTACTACCACCTCACTTTCAAGATTGCTTACCTCAGTAACCTCTTTCTTCAATAAAATAAATTTTTCAGAATTTTTAAACATATAAACATTGCATAAAACTATAAAATATAGAGGTAATGAAACAAATTATTTTCATATGAATTTACAATTGGGTTTGTAACCTAGATTATACACAATGGAATAGTATTCAGACAAAAAATAATGAAATCCTGTCATCCAACATGAATGGAACTGGAGATCATTATCTTAAGTGAAATAAACCAGGCCCAGAAAAACAAGTACTACGTTACCTCACTCATTTGTGAAATATGAAAAGGTTGCCCTCATAGAAGTTGAGAATGGAATGGTGGGGACCAAGGGAATGGTGCAGGGATGGGAGGGGAAGACTGGTCAATGGGTACTAAGTTTCAATCAAGTTACTTATTATAAAATAGTTTAGTCTAGAAACTAATTTTTTCAGATTTTATATGCACACTTGGGATTAACATAAAATATTGTGTGATTAGATATCATGTCTCTTTAGTCTCCCTTTCAGAAAGTAACAATTTCTGTCTTACCTGGAGTCTTTTGATGATGATAGATCACTGTTTCATAGCCTGTCCCTCGATATATACTTGTCTCAACTTTTCCCATCATACATTTCAGTTATGCATCATTGGCTGGGCTAGCACCAAAACCAATTGTATCACATGAAGTGGGGTATGATTTTTATCTATCCCACTAATAAAACAAATTGTGGCTTCACATGCACAAGGCCCTGGGTTTAATACTCAGCACCACAAAAAAAAGGAAGAAAAAAAATTTGCACAGAAAATTTACCAAGAAAGACCATATTCTGAGCCCTAAAAATAAATATAAGAGGATTCAAATATACAAGATTTTTTTCCTTTGACCACAGTGAAATCAGATTAGAAATCAAAAAACTAGAAAAATACCTACAAAATCACTTAGCATTTGGAAACTAAATACTGCACAGCTTAATAATCCAAGGTCAAAAAGAATAAATTAAAGGAGAAACTGTAAAGCATTTTTAATTGAATGAAAATGAAAACATAACATAGCAAAATCTATGGATATACTAAAGCATAACTTATGGATAATCTGTAGCATGAAATGCCTACATTGGTAAAGGGAACAGGTCTCAAATAAATGACCTAATATTCCACTTTAAGAAGCCAAAAGAGTACAGGATGGGGTTATGGCTCAGCAGTAGAGCGCTTGCCTCACACATGCAAGGTCCTGGGTTCGATCTTCAGCACCACATAAAAGTAAATAAATAAATAAATAAATAAAGTGATTTTAAAAAAAAAAGAAGAAGCCAGAAAAGTAAAGTCAATGGAAATTTAAGAAGAATAAAGATAATAGTGGAGAATATAATGAAATAGAAATCAGAAAAGCAATCAAGAAAATCATGAAGCTGAAAAGTGGCTCTTTTGATAGTAAAATTTTGATAAAGCTTTAGTTAAATTGAGATGAAATAAGAAATAGAGATGACATAAATTACCAGTATCTGTAATGAGAAATCATATGACTAAGGCTTCTATGGATATTAAAAGGAAAACACAGAAATATTGGGAATAATATTAATGTCAATAAATTGAACAACATAGTTATAATGGACAATCTTTGAAAAATATAAACTACCAAATCTCAACAAGAAGTAATAAATAATATTTATACTGACAGAACTACATTTGGTAAACTAAATGTAAACTAAACTTATTGTTAAAACCTTCACACAAATGAGATCAACGAGATTATGTTGTATACATGTATGAATATGAAACAATGAATCCCACTATTATGAATAATTATAATGCACTAATGAAAAAGTTTTAAAGCTTTTCTACAAAAGAAAGGTCCAGAAAATAATGAAGATGAAAGAGCTTCATAAACAATTTTAATATAAGAAGTTATTTGCAAAAATCTGTGCAAGTAGATTTTAAGCCTAAGAGAAATGAATAATTTTTGAGGAATTCTTAAGTTACCATAATTTATCTCACAAGTGATAGAAAATCAATATAAAATTATTTCCAAATAAATAAAGTAGTAAAATAGCACTACCTCTTAAAAATAGTGACAGCCTAGAGTGTGTAACAGAGACATTATAACCAAGTTTTAAAGAGCAAGTGATCCTACTACCAGAGCCTCAGGAAAAGAAGGAATTTTTTCTAGTTGTTATTATGAAGCATATATTTTAATATTAATTCAAAATCTAGTAAGAAATATGCACACAATATTTTATATTAATCCCAAATGTGCATATACATGCCAAAATCCGAAAAATTAGCAATCACAAATGAGCACATTAAAAATAAAACATCATCATTTCTGTTTCTAGTATGAAAGAGTAAAGCATTTAACAACCCAATCCTTCTATAAATAACAGTTAAAAACTATGGTGAAAAAAATTTTAATTTTTTTAATAGTGTCCAAAACATCTGGGATACAATTCAAAATTAATAAATAAAAAGTCAACCACTACCTGGAGGCTCTAAAGAGTGAATGAAGGCTGCAGACAGGGGCAGACGGGTCAAGCTTCCTGTCTCCTGACTGCTCTGGGTGTGGCAGCACTGTCATGGTGGTCCTTAGCAGCAGCAGCTCCAATGGAGAAGCATATCATTATTCTCACTGAAAGAACCAAAGGCAAGAGATCAGGGAAACCAGGACTGCCAAAGAATGTAGAGGACACACATACAGAGAGAGAGAGAGAAGAAAGAGGAAGAAAACGTGGAAGAGGGAGAAAACAAACCAAATCTGTGCATAGACTGCCTAAGTCTCTGGTTCCCCTGAAATATGTGCAGGGCAGCTTGGAGGCAGTCTGAATGGATCTCTGAATTGCCACTATCCACAGGCAAGGCAGAGTGTAAGTATGACTCTTGCAAGTTAATTGCTTGATAAAAATGAAATATCAATACCATTTGGAACAATATATCAAAATCCAGAGCCTCCACAACATAGTGTCCAAAACATCTGGGATACAATTCAAAATTAACTGATGTACAAAGAACCAGAAAAAAAAGACCCATTCTCAAAGGAAAAGAAAATTAACTGGAGGTTTATCCAGAGAAGAACCAGACGTTGGAATTATCAGGCAAGCACTCAAAGGTATTCATTATAAGGATGCTCAAATGGATCAATGAAAATCTGCTCCAAATAAATATAAAGATCAGCAATATAGCAGAGAAACAAAAAAAAATGTATATCTGAAAAGTTTAGAATCTGAAATTTTTTAAAGTTCACTATATGGCTTATTTGTAGAATGAGATGATGGAGTAAAGTATCAGTGAATTTGAGGAAATCAAACAAGATGAAGAGTAAAGGGTAAAGACAGGAAAAAATTATCAGAGCTTCAAGGACACATGGAACAATATTTGAAAGATCTGACATATACTACTGGGGTTCCCAAAGGATAAGAAATTAAAAATAGAACAGGAAAATGAAATAAAAATGAAACACCAACCCCTCCCCCAAATTTGTTAAAAGATATGAATGTGCAGATTTAAGAAGTTCAATTCTTGAGGTCAAAAGTCTGAAATGGGTCACACTGAACTAAAATCAAGGTGCCAGTCGAAGACTGCATTCCTTTCTGGAGACTATCAGAGAATTCATGCTCTTGCCCTTTTGAGCTTTTAGAATCAGGTCTCCTTTCATCTTCAAAGTCAGCAATCACATCACTCTGACCTCTGCTTCAAACATCACATTCCTTCTCTGACTCTCTCCTCCCTCCCTTGCATGAGGATGCTAGTGTCTATACGGGGCTCACCTGAATGAATCCAGGACAATATCCCTATCTCAAGATCCTTAACTACACTGCAAAATCACTTTTTCTATGTAAGGAAATCCAATCACAGGTCTCAAAGATTAGGTCATGGACATCTGTGGGATGACCATTATTATGCTTACCACATATACCAAACGAAGGAGAGACAGATAATCAGGTCAATGAGATGAACTATTCCATGGATATCAGTTGGATTATTTATCCAGCCACAGTATTTTCCCAATGGGCTCATAAACAAGGGGGCCATGAGAGCAGGGATGGAGGTCATAGAGACTTGGATTTCCCATCAAAAAACTTGATCCTACTTCCACCATTGCTGAGTGCCAATAGCAGAAGCCAACACTGAGCACACAGAATAACTGTTCCACCCTATTAGATGCCGTGCATCATGAAGGGGGTATAATGGTTTGGATATGAGGTGTCACCCAAAAGCACTTGTGTTAATGTTCAGAGGTGAAATTTTTAGATTTTGACAGCCGTCATTTAATGAGTGAATTAATCCATTTGATTAATTCAAATCAATATCTATTCCCCCCCCCCCGCCTTTTGACCTTCTCTCCTTCTCTCCTTCCTGGCTGCTCTGACCAGTGCAAATTTCTTCTGCCATGTCTTCCACCAGACCAATGGAGCTGAACAATTATATACTGAACCTCTGAAACCATGAACCCAAAATAAACTTTTACTCCTCTAAGTTGTTCTTGTTGGATATTTTGGTCACAGTGATGTGCAGCTGACTAACACAAAAGTTGATACTAAGAAGTGGGATTGTTGTTGTGATCATACCTGACTATATGGTTCAGAAGATTTGAAACTGGTTTACAGGAGAAGTTTGGAGAAATTTGGAGAGGCAGGCTGGAGAAGCCTTAAGATGTTGTAAACAGCACTTAAAAGATGTGTAATGGTTAATTTGAATTGTCAACTTGATTGGATTAAGAGATGCCAAGGATTATGGGTATGTCAGTGTGTCTAGGAATGATTAGTATGTGGGATAGCCAACTGAAACGGAGACCTTCCCTAAGCATAGGCAGCAATGACCAAAAGGATGATGGCTTGGATAGAATAAAAGTTGGAAGAATAAGGAAGCAGCAGCAGATGCAGGCTTGATTCTTCTTGAATGGATTTTTGATTGCTACTGTGATTGTCTGTGGATATCAGACTCTCGCTTCTTCAGTCTTCCAAAGCAGACTCTGTCAGTGATTCTCCCGGAGCCTTTGGTCTCAGACTAGGGTAGGACCTTTGATCCTTCTTGTTCTCGGGCTTCAGCCTCTTGGACTGCACAGCTACTCGTTCTTCCAGCTCTCCAGCCTGCAGATGGCCATTGTGGACTATCCAGCTTCTGGTCGTGTAAACCAAACCTAATAAATCCCCTTTTTATAATTTTACTTCCTGTTGATTCTGTTCCTCTAGAGAATGCTGACTAATACAAGGTGATTCTGATAGAGCTCAGAGGACTAGAATGCTAACAGGAATGTGGACAGTAGAGACTATTCTCACGAGTTTTCAGAAGGAAACAAGGACTCAATTGGGTATTGAACTAGAGGTCATATGTTACATTCCAGCAAAGTGCTTTTCTATATTTTGCTCATGTCCTGAGAGTGAATGAGGCCAAATTTAAAAGTGATGGAGGGGCTGGGGATGTGGCTCAGGCGGTAGCGTGTTTGCCTGGCATGCGTGCGGCCCGGGTTCGATCCTCAGCACCACATACCAACAAAGATATTGTGTCCGCCGAGAACTGGAAAATAAATATTAAAAAAAAATTCTCTCTCTCCTCTCTCACTCTCTCTCCTCTCTCACTCTCTCTTTAAAAAAAATAAAATAAAATAAATAAAAGTGATGGAGTAATTAATCTGGCAGAGGAAATTTCAAGGCAGCACAGCACCCAGATGGTAGTATGGATATTGCTGCTGAGCGTTAGCCAGGTTTACTGTGATAATTGAAAGCAGAAAACAGAGAAGAAAGATTTGAAAATTTTGCAATTTGGGCAGAAAATCACTCAAAAAACTAGCATCAGGAAGTTGTGGTTATTGAATAGATTACTACCACAAAGAGAAGATAAATCCTTTTCATAGACAGTAGGAAAGATGACTTGAGGGCCTATCAGAAATTATCAAGACCAAGCCCATGGCAGGCTCAAGGGTGTAGAAGTGAAAACTCCCTTGAGAGACCTTGGGGGTACACTGCTCTCCCAGGAGTGCCTAGAAAACAGTATCCCAAGGATTCATTTCCCCATGCACAGCTCTCCAGGCACTCAGAGGCCACTGAAGCCATGGATAAGGGTCCAAGAGGGCCCAGCTACTGCTCAAGCTGGCAGTAAATCTTGCTGTCATCCAACGGTGCTGGTTCTGCAGAAACTCAGGATGCTGAAGCTAAGGGATCATAGAAGTCTCCACTGAGATTTCAAAGGAAGGCCTGAAAGATCAGGAAAAGTATAGCAGGGTTAGAATCCCTGAATGCATTCCCTGATGGGGTGGTATGTAAAGAAGTGAAGGCAAAGGCAGAAGCAGAAGCTGGAATGGAGAACCCCTCACTACCCTCCCTCCAGATTAAGAGGTGCCAGTAACAGGGAACTCCTGCCAATGAAAGCTTTGAGCTGGGGATAGAGCCAGACTAAGAGAGAGGCTATGTGGGCTAAAACAGATAACAGGGTGGGGCTTCCCAAGCCTCATGGAAGTTACATTATACTGTCATGCACCCCAGATCTGGACATGGAGCAACAGACCTAATGTTTGACCAGCCAAATTCTGGTCTTGTTTTGGTTCCATTCCTTCTTTTATGCCCCCATCCCTCCTATTTGGAATAGGAATGTTTACCCTGTACCACTATATATTAGATATATCATTAGATATATCATATCTTTTGATTTTTACGGGGATTCACAGCTAAGAGTTTGCCTTCACTCTCAGAGGAGACTAGAATTGGACTTTTAGGCAATGTTGGAACTGTTAAAACTTCAAGGACTGTTGGAGATTAAGTAAATGCATTTAAGATTGTGAGATGGACATGAGCTTTTGGACATCAGGGGCAGGATGCCATGGTTTGGATATGAGGTATCCCCCAAAAGCTTCTGTATTGGTATTCAAGGGAGGAATAACTAAAGGATTATTCCAGCAATAATATATTACTTCCCCTCTTATGTTAATCAACTTTGTGTTGCTGTGACCAAACCCAACAAAAACAACTTATAGGAGGAAATGTTTATTTTGGGCTCATATTTTTGAAGGTTTAATCCATGGCTGGCTGAGTCATTAACTAGTTGATTAATCCATTTGATGGATTAATAATTTGAGAGGACTATTGTACTTGATGGTAACTGAAGGCAGGTAGGACATGGCTGGAGAAAGTGGATCACTGGGGGTGTGCCCTTGGAGATTATGTCTTGTCCCCCTGGCTTCTTCCCCCTTCTGACTCTCTCTCTTCCCTTCCCTCTCTCCATCTTTCCCTTCCTCCTTCCATTGGATGGAGGACACCATGAGCAGTGAAGCTTTTCTCTGTTATGCCTTCTACCATAATGTTCTACCTCACTTAGGCCTAGAGCAATGGACTTGACCAACCATGGACTGAACTCTAAAACCATGAGTCCCAAATAAACTTTTATTCCTCTTAGTTGTTCTTGTTGGATATTTTGATCACAGTGATACAAACTTACTAATACAAGGGGGAAGAATTTGACCTTCCTGGAATGAACACTTTTATTAATTTGTCTTCTCTTATTATTGTAGTTCTGCCAGGAGTGGCATCTATGGGCTTTCTAAACACTTGATTTACCTTTACACCATCCCTCTCAACACTGTTTCTATCTGTGAAAGTAATAGAGAACAAGGATAGAATTTTAAAAGCCTAAAGAGAA